TGTGGTGGCCAGGGTGGTAGTCCGTGGGACGTGGAGTACAGTGGGTCAAGGGTCCTCATACATATAAAGGATACCACCCACTTTTCAAATTCTTTAGCTATAAGCAACAATGAAGCATCCTTTCTCTTCTTTTCAATTTTGAACCCTTTGAACAGGTCTAAGACAGGTTTTTCACCCTGTTCTTGTGCCCGTATAGCCTTAGTTTGCTATCCTCATCTGCACAAGCACGCTTGGGTTGCACGAGCCCTTGCTCATTACTTCAGTAGCTGTTTGTTTCTTTTTCTTTCGAGAGCGATAGTGCTCTAGTTCTGGTTTAATAGTGCGGTAAGTGTGAACTTAGCTGTTCAGGCTGATAGCTCAGAGCTGTTTGCATTACAGTTTATGAGAATCAGTAAGAGCAGCAAGTTTATCCTATGAACAGATGCACTCTTTTTCCCTGCTGAGCTCTTCTATTTCCTTTATCTATTATGCTTATACAATAGGCTATGCATTATGTCTGAACTCTGGATTATATCTGAGATCTCTCATAGAAAGGAGATGGATAAACAGAGAAGGAGTAGTATGAGTTTTGGTTATAAGCTAGTGAACAATGCATTAAGCTTGCAAGCTAATATTACAAAGAAATGAATTTCTTTTTCCAACATTTCTCATATCAATCAATAATCCTATATAGAAGCTGATACAGCTTAGATCTATATAAGCTGCAGTAGAAAGTTTAACTATATTAAATGTAGATTTATAATTAAATTATAGAGTAGAATGCTTTTAGTAAATAATATTCTGCAGAGAAAAGTAGTATAATTAACAAGATCTGTGCTTCTTGCAATAGTTCAATTAGCATGCTTTACCTGAACATATTTAGCTATATTGATTCTTTGGATTAAAAGCTTGCTAGTTGCATTATTTTAAAAGCAAAGAATATAGAGAAGTGAAGATAAGAAATTATTAGTATATATAAGAAATAAAGATTAAGAATTATAATAATATTATTCAATATCGAACTTTAATCAACACTTTATATCTAATTAGAAATGCTTTTATTAATTAGCAGAACTATTAATAAAGGAAATTCCAGTATAATACAGAATAGCTAACTCAATTCCTTATTATTTATTATAAGACAGATCTCATGCATGCTCTACTTACAGACTGAATTTCCTTCAAGCATCTGAATCCTCTCAATCTCTACAGTATTGTCTTCTGCAGGATACAGAAAGCATTCCAGCTGTAGCACTCTCAATTCAAAGATCTCAAATCAGGAAGGCAAAGAAATATTGGAAGAAGCGATAATCAAGAGGGAAGATAGCTTCTATATCTGAGAGCTCTTTCAATCAGATATCCAGTTCAGCTGATTATCTAGCTAATAATCACTATAGTCAGAACTTCAGATTTCCCTCCTACAGTAAGCTTGCTAATAATGAGTTAATATTGTTTGCTTGTATAGAAGTCTTCTTATAGCTGAAGCAATTTAACTAGTAGCATTAGATTAAAGAGATTAATAATACTTAAGCACTCAACTTTATGAAAAGCTTCTATACAAATATAATCATTGCTAGAGAAGTAAAGAGATTTATTATAAATACTAAAACTTGAAATGAATAGAAGAAGCAATTATTAGTTGCTTATTGCTCTTGAAATCATCTCTAGATATATACTTCTAAGCAGAAGCGCTTGAATATTATCAATAACTATTTTATTACTAATACTGCTAGCTTCTGATTATTTATTGTAAACTATAATAATACTCTTACTCATCTTAAGATCAGAAATAGTTAATCTGTAGCAGAAGTATGAATAAAGCTTTCTTTAATCTGGATTAAGTGCTTCCAAGCTAACTATAATATTACTGCTGAAAGCGTTAGCAATAAGAAGTAGCCTTATCTTATGAAAAAGCTATTAGAGATTTATTATAAAGTATTTCAGAAGAAGACTCAAGACTAACTTGCTTCTAGTGCTACCAATCTTCAACTTTATCAACAGGCTTAATTCCAAAATCCTTCTATGCTTCCACCTTAGCTAGTTCTTAATCAAATATAGCTCATTTCTATTCTACATTCAATATATAATGCTTTCAATTAACTAATAAACCTGTTAAAACAAGCAGTAGAGCTATTATACTATTAACTGCTTTAATAATCAACTTATAATTAGCAAGCTTAGTCTGAATTAACTAAGCAGATCTTGAAAGCTGAATCTACTTAGAAAAGCAACTAAGAATATAACTAGTTAGCTTTAATAATAAAGCAACTCTATATTAATCAAATTGCAATAGCAAAATCCTTAAAGCTATAAACTAATACTTTCAGATAAATGCAGAATATCTCGTATAATCAAACCAAGGCTTTATAGAAGATCTTATAACTAATTAAGCATTTCCAAACTATTTCTGCAAGAAATCCTTTCCAGAGAAATGCAAATTCCTTGCAAATAAGTATTATCTATACAAGTTCGGAGAATGAGAAAGAGCAGTATTCTGAAGCATAGCAAGCAGAGATTAATAAAATCCTAAAGAAGAATGGAATTCTGTACAGATGCTACAATTGTAGATTGAAGTTTTATAAAGCTTATAAGTGCATAGAACTCCGTACTGTTATGAACTGTAGCATTTGCTATGCTTTAGCATTAGCGAAGCTAGAGTAGCATCTTAGCAATTGCTTGGAATTTCTGAACTCTAGATTAAAACCAGTATTATATAGCTAGATTATATCCGCTCGAGATAACTTCAAAGGCGGTATAATTCGTTTGATTCTTAATCTCTGTAAGGATCAGCAGCTGAAGAGTATTAAGGATTCTTGAATCTCTTAATATATTAGTCTGGTTCAAGAGAATAAGAAATAGCATAGAGATTCTGAAATAGCTAAGAATAAGATACTATAGGAAGAGATTAATTCCATTCCCAAATGCAACAATTAGTATAGAATTAATAATATTGAAATCCTTAGCAATGCTAGCGAGATTCAAGTGAGAAAGTTATATCTCACTTCAGCTCAAGCTGAATTATATCTACTAAAGCTTCCCAGTATCAATGCTATAGATGTTAAGCTTATTCAAGCTCAGGTAAATGCAGATAAAGCAAAGAAGTGCTGTATTAGAAAAGCTGAATATAATAATAATGAGATTGAAAGAGATGCAAGTGTAAGAACTATTAAGATCTCTATATATTTCGAGAATATTAGATCAGAGAAATCTAATAAGCAATTCAATAGTCTGAACAGAGAGCTAATAGTTCAAGCTATTAGTAACAAGCTCCTGAATCAGTTCCTAGATTACTTATTAAAGATCTCAGACTAGGAGATAATAGTTATATTATTAGAATGGAAAGCTTGTCTGATTTACAGTCTTCAAGAAGTTAATGCTAAAGCTCAAAAAGTTATTAATCTTAATAATCAAACCAGCTCGAACCTGTATAAGATAGATACTGCTGAATCAGCTAATTTATTGCAGCATAAACTCGAAATCTCAATGCTTTCCCAGCTTAAAAAGCTTATTGATAGTTAGATTATTAATACTCGGAATATTACTAAGTATCTTTCGAAACTAGCTTAACTACTTGCAGTTCAAGCTTTATTTCTTGTTGCTAAACCTAGCTATATTAAGCTTACTATTAACATAATTCAAGCTTTCAACAAATCCTTATTTCCTTCTATAACAGCTTCTATAACTGCTCTCAGCAGCATTCGAAATAGGAGCATTGCTTCAGTAGCATATATCCCTCTGCAGCTAGGAAATAAAGAGAATGAATCTGTACAAGCAATGCTGAATATAGATGCTGAAATAAGCTTAGTAGCTCTCTCTTTATATTCAAGCATGCGCTTATCTTATATGCTAATATCAAATATTATCTTATATATATATAATGAATCAGATATAGTGCTTGTTAGAATTCTTGAAACCGATATTTTCTGTAGCAGCTTCTCTGAATAGATAATATTCTATATTATTAATAACAGATTGATATTGCTAAATTATTTTATACTATTAGAAATGCTATTTATAATGCAAACTAAGCTTTTCTTTAATCATTTTATCTCTGGATTTCTCTATACAAGCTTTATTTTTGGAGAAGTATAACTGATTATTATAATCAGCAGTTAGAAACTTCTTAAAGGGAAGAGTTTATACAGAATTATACTAAAAAACTGAGTATTAGCAGCTATTCTGAGAAATACAGAGCTATTAGCAGAGAAGTTATTCCAGAGTAGATATTGTTGGAAAAGAGAGATATAGCTGTAATATTCATATCTGAATAAGATATTGCAGCTGTTGTAAACAAGTTAATAGTGGAACTAATGAGAAGAAAGTTGAAGGAGGGTTGCTCTATGGTGAATGAGAAAGGAGCAATCCGAGAGTCTTGCTTGTATGAAATGTACAGCAGCTAGCGCTATTCATGCTAGCTATGTTATATGGGAAAGGAAAGAAAAGATGTTTTAGGCTTAGTTAATACTCTTTATAAGTCTAAAGATAAGAAGATCAAGCTAATTAATGATTCTCAGCTTGATAGTTCAGTATCAGAAGGAATAATCGGGTGAAAGCTTGCTAAGATTAAGGAGATAAGATGAGCTTAGCAATCTACAAAGCTTATTAAGTATGATGAATAAATTGAATTCAAGTTCAGCAATCTGAATTCTGATTAGCGCCTGAGATCTGATTAGTAAGCTGCTATATAAGAGAAAAACTGTAAAGGGTTTTCTAAAGCTGAGAAGAAAATATTCAAATATATATTGAGAAATAGAATCAAAGTTCTTGCATAAGACTTTACTGAAATTAGAAAGATTATTAAGGAAGTAGCTTTCTTGCAAGAAATCAGAACTATATTCTACAAGATCTTTCAAGCAAAGCATATTCCAATCCTTAATACTCTTAAGCTAAAGTTAATAAAGCTTCTAAAATAATGTATTAAACAGAAGATTATTAAGAAAAGCTATACATTATATAAAAACAATTGATTTCTGATTATTAAAAAGAATAGTAGCTTATGCTTAATTAATAATGCTTAAAAGTATAATAAGCATAGCTTTAAGAATGCTTTTATGCTGCTTGCTTTAGATGAATTCTCGGAGAAGTTTGCTATATACAAGATTCTTTTACTGCTCAACTTCTTTTTCGGATATAATCAAGTGCAACTGCATTCTAATAGCAGAAATATAATAATCTTCTTAATGCTCTTAAGCTTGTTCAGAATGTATACTTTATTTTAGAGTGCTATCAACTCTGTTGCTCAGTTTATAAAGATAATGATTAGACTTCTGTATGATCTTATTTCTTATATATGCTAGCTTTTTCTTAATAATATTTCTATTTGTAATTTTATAATAATCTATGAAAATAAAGAGATTCCAAGCTTTTCCGAAGTATATAGATATATTGCTAAGTATATCGGAAATCTTAATAAGATTCTTATAAATGCAGAGCTAGCTGAAGCTACAATCTTAGCATTCAAGTTAGAATAATGCTAAGTGAAAGTTGATATAATTGATTATATTGTTAGTTTCAGCAAATAATAATCTTAGAACAGAAAGATAGAAAAGCTTCTAGCTTGAATAGAATATAAGAATATCAAGAATATCCGCTCTTTCATTGAACTAATTATCTATTATATAGCTTGGATTTGAAATTTCGCAATTATTGCTTAATTACTCTATAATCTTCTTAAGAAAGATGCTGTATGGAGATAGAAGAAGGAATAGAAAGAAGCTGTTGCTATACTTATTCAAATGCTTATATCTCATTCAGTTATTATTTCAATTAATTATAGCACTGATATTAGAAAGATTATTCTTATGATAAATATAAGCTTATTGAGCTGAAGCGCTGTACTAATGCAGATAATAAAGGATAAATGAAAGCTAGTACATTTTGTTAGCAGAATCTGAATAGTTGCAGCACAGAAGTACAATGCTACTAAGAGGAAGTATTGCGCTGTTCTCTATGCTTTACAGTCTCTTCAGTAGCATTTCTATAATTGCTATTTCATTCTGGAAACTAATACTTGCATTCTGGTAGATCAACTTAATGAAGAAATAAATAATATATCTAGTACTCTTCTAAATAGATGGGTAGTAGTGATTAAGATGTTTGATTTTACTATTAAATATATTTCCGAGTTAAAGAATTCTATAGCTGATGCTCTTTTTCGATCTTTATATTTAATGCTATCTAAGAAAGATGAAGATAGCAATATTAAGAACTGGTATAATGCTCAGCTTAATAGTATAAATTCAGATAAAGCTGATTTAGTATTACTGCTAAATTCAATTCTTTAGTAAATAGAATAGTTAAAATAGTATGCAGAGTTCTTATACTACAGAATCATTTTATTAAAACTCTTTAAAAGGAATTGCAAGAACTTTATAATAAAGATATTAAAATATTAAATACTTAACTAAGCTCTATAGCACTATACTAATGCGAAACTCTTATGCTAATAAGTAGTAAATAATTCTGATCTTTATTGCTAAATTATTAGAGAATATTATGCTAAGTTTGAATATCGAGATTAAGATTCTATAGTAGCTTGTATCAAGCAACTCTATTACTGAAGAGATCTCTGAATAGATATAGCTAATGCTATCTTGGATTATAAGAAGTATACAAAGTTCGATTCAAAGATATAAAAGAAAAAAGTAATTCTAATCCTTTCAAGTTAACTCTTTATAAGAATCAGCATTAACATTCAATATATAGCTGAGAATAGCAATTACAGATATCTTGCAGAAGCTTGCTATAATCTGATCAGCTATATACTTACAAGACTTTTTAAGAAAGCTACAGCTGCAGAAATGAGAAAGTTTATTTTGAAAGAGATTATTCTTGTATTCAGATGCTCTTTCAAAATTATTATTAATGAAGGATCAGAAAACAAGGCTGAGATAGCTAAGATTATTAAAGCTCTTGGGATTCTGCTTATTCAGATCTTCAGTTATAATTCTCATACTCAAGAACAAGTAGAAACTAATCATCTTTTCTTAGCAAGTACTCTTGCTAAGCTAGCTAATACTCAACTCTGAAAATAGAAGTAATACTTGAAACTTGCACTTTTCGCTGAAAGGATTATAATCTGCTAGTTGCATGAATACAGCTTCTTCTATTTGATTTTCAATTAGAAGCTGCTTATTCCAATTGAAACTGAAATCTCAATATAAAGAGTTCTTATATAAACTGAAAACTAATCCTCTCAGAAAGCGTTTGAAATATGATTAAGAATAATTGCAGCTAAGGAAGATGATATGCAGAAGGCAATTAAAGCTATTTAAGCATACTATCAAAAGATTGCAGCTAAAAGTCAAATACAGAGTTTAATACAAAAATCTCAACTGAATATCGAAGATCTTATGCTTATTTATAATTATATCTGGAAAATGAACTATTTGCGCAATGCTAAGATCTCTTATAAGTAGAAAGATTCATATCTAATTACTCAGATCCTAGATAAATATACTTATAAGCTCAAGACTACAGACAGAGTTCTGCTAAAAAGCATATATTCAGCTACTAATCTCAAAAAGTTCATATGAAATATGAATAGTATTTGGGAATTCGAAATGCTTATACTCTGAGAAGAAGATATCGAGCTTCAATCTAGCTAATTATTAGCAGAAAAGCTAGATTCGATAAGAGCTCTTTAGCAAAAGAAATCAGATAACAATATTCTTGAAGTTCAGAAAGCAGATTCAAGCAATAATGCTACATTCTGGATTCCAGATATTATTAAGCATAATTCTATGCTTAGCTAAACTAGTTCTGATTCAGAAACTATTAATCTAGCAATTGAAGCGAATAATGATGCTAAAGATGGAAATAGAGTTAGTAATAGTAAACATTTCATACAGGCAGCAGAGAAGGAAAAGCAAGAATAGGAAAAAGCAGATAGAAGTAAGATATTTATACTAATTCCAACTAAATCAGCATTCTTAGCTTGTAGAGGAGATTGATTTCTTTCTATTCATATTTCCTTTTTGTTTGCAAAATACGTTTTCTTTTCATCTTTCCTATTCCATCTTATATATTTTGCTGAAGAAGAAGGAATGAAGTATTGTTTGCTACTACTTATTACAGAATACTGTAAATCCACCTAAAAATTTCAAAGCATTCAGCATAGAGTATGTTAATCAGCTCTAAAGCTATTTTCATTATTCAAAAATTGCAGTATATTGAAATGCAATGCATGAAAAATGTAGAGCGCTAAAGAAATACTGCAATCTATAAAAACTTCTTACTTTTATATATTATTCTTATTATCAGAATATCTATAAATATCATTCAATAGCTCTTTTCTTATTCTATCCAGATTCATATTATTTATATTATTCGCTAAAGAATCATTATTAAAAACAGAGAAAGAATCTTAAGACTAAATAAACTTAGCTTGTTTCTCGATATAAGATCCTACTATAGCCTTGCTCTTGCTTTTATTCTTGCTGCAAGATACAGATTGTAAAGCTGCCTGCTCAGACTCAGATATTCTCTTCTTAGAAGCAGAAAGAGCAGTACTCTTCTTGCTGATCTATGCAGATAAAGTTAGCAATAATATTCTTAAGTATTGCAATCATAGTTGATTATAAGATTCACAGTATTCTATAAGTATTACTTTCTTAGCATAAGAGGAACTTATTTAATCTGATTATATATAATATCTTTATTCTGCATAAGCTTGTATTAAGCTTTAATAATATGCTTAATGTTGATATTGGAGTTAACTTAAGAATCTATCTTGATTATATATTGAGAGCTAAGTTAGTAAAACAAATACTAATGCTGCAAGAAGAATAATAATTAGTATATGCTCAAATCTAATCAAAGATATTGGAATGAAAATCTTATTTATATACTGCACTTTTTAATACAAGAGAAGTTTTTGATATAGTTATATTCAGATTCTGTATAATAAATGCAGTTGCTGCACTTTCTATTAAAGAAGCTTTTTATTGAAATGTATTCTAGGAAAAGCTAGTTAATATTAATCTACTGCTTCTATATAAGCATGCAAGCAGTAGCATACTGATAGGAATAGCAATTGCAAGGAACTAAGTTATACTGATTATAGAACTGAATAAGAAGGGAATTTACTTGCTTAGAGCAGAAGAAGATGCAGATAAAATATTTGCTAAAGAGCTTTCAACCAGCTTTATATATCACAATAGGATTCAGTTTAATAGAATCCTTATTATTCAGCTTTGTAAAATGAGCAGCAAAGCTAGAGCTTAGCAGTAAGTTGTTCCAAAACATAATATTGCTTTGAATATCCTAAGAAATATATATCAAGCTAAGATTTCTCTTGATAGTATTGAAGTTTGTAATATCAAGGAAATCAATATAGATATTCTTAAGCTAGTAATAATTGCTGCTCTGAGAAGAAGGAACTGAAGAAGAAAACTAGATTCAGATCTTGTTAATCTCTTGAGGAGCAGTATTTATCCATAAAGAGAAAACAGCATCAGTAATGATTCGAGACATCTTGAGTATGTTGCAGAGCTGAGCAAGGGAAGGTTGATAGAAGGAGAAGTTGTTATATGAAGAATGAATTGAAAGGCAAGATAAACTGAGGGAGAGGTTGTTGAACAAGTTTGCTGAAGATTAATGAGATAGCAATAAGTAATAAATATATCCAACTGAGTTATCACATCTTCTATTCAGTCTATTGCTGAATAGCTTCTATCTAGCTAAGGATGAAGCTGTTTGCTTTATAACAAACGGAAAGCAGTAAATCACTTAGGTAGTTGCTAAGCAAGATAAATTAGCTATTTCATCTATACTTATAGCCAGCTATTCTTCCTCCTCCTTCAACTTCTTCACAATCACCTTTCTCAAGCATATACTGTTGTGGTGGCCAGGGTGGTAGTCTGTGAGACGTGGAGTACAGTGGGTTAAGGGTTCTCATACATATAAAGGATACCACTCACTTTTCAAATTCTTTAGCTATAAGCAACAATAAAGCATTCTTTCTCTTCTTTTCAATTTTGAACCCTTTGGATAGGTCTAAGACAGGTTTTTCACCCTGTTCTTGTGCTCGTGTGGCCTTAGTTTGCTGTCCTCATCTGCACAGGCACGCTTGGGTTGCACGAGCTCTTGCCCATTGCTTCAGCAGCTGTTTGTTCCTTTTTCTTTCGAGAGCGACGGCGCCCTAGTTCTGATTCAATGGTGCAGTGAGTATGGACTTAGCTATTCAGGCTGGTAGCTCAGAGCTGTTTGCGTTACAGTTTGTAAGGATTAGTAAGAGCAGCAAGTTTACTCTATGAACAGGCGCACTCTTTTTCCCTGCTAAGCTCTTTTATTTCCTTTATCTATCACGCTTATACAACAGGCTGTACATTATGTCTGAACTCTGAATCATGCCTAAGATCTCTCGTAAAGAGGAGATGAGTGAATAGAGAAGGAGTAGTATGAGTTCTGGTTGTAAGCTAGTAAACGATGTATTAAGCCTGCAGGCTAATATTATGAAGAAATGAATTCCTTTTTCCAACATTTCCTATATTAATCAATAATTCTATATAGAAGCTGATATAGCTCAGATCTGTATAAGCTGCAGCGGAAAGTTTAACTATATTGAATATGAGTTTATAGTTAAATTACAGAATAGAATGCTTTTGATAAATAGTATTCTGTAAAGAAAAGTAGCATAATTAACAAGATCTATGCTTCTTGCAATAGTCCGATTAGCATGCTTTATCTGGATATATCTAGCTACATTGATTCTTTAAATCAAAAGCTTGCTAATTGTATTATTTCAAAAGCGAAGAATATAAAGAGATAAAGATAAGGAACTATCAATGCATACGAGGAATAGAGATTAAGGATTATAACAATATTATCCAATATCGAACTTTAATCAATGCTTTATACCTAATCAGAAATACTTCCATTGATTAGCAAAACTATTAATAAAGGAAATCCCAATGCAGCACAGAATAGCTAACTCAATCCCTTGTTATTCATCACAAAACAGACCTCATGCACGCTCTACTCACAAACTGAATCTCCCTCAAGCATCTAAACTCTCTCGATCTCCACAGTATTGTTTTCCGCAGGATATGGAAAGCATTTCAGCTGTAGCGCTCTCAACTCAAGAATCTCGAATCAGGAAGGCAAAGAAACATCGGAAGAAGTGATAACCAAGAGGGAAGATAGCCTTCACATTTAAGAGCTCTTCCAATCAGATATCCAGTTCAGCCAACCATCTAGCCAACAACTACTATAATCAGAACTTCAGATTCCCCTCCTACAGTAAGCTTGCTGGTGATGAGTTGATATTATTTGCTCATATGGAAGTCTCCTTGTAGCTGAAGCAATTCGATTGGTAGCATCAGATCAAAGGGATTGATGATACTCAAGTACTCAACTTTATGAAAAGCTTCTGTATAGATATAATCGTTGCTAGAGAAGTAGAGAGATTTATTACAAGTGCTAAAACTTGAAATGAATAGAAAAAGCAACTATTAGTTACTTATCGCTCTTGAAATCATTTCCAGATATATATTTCTGAATAGAAGCGCCTGAATATTATCAACAACCGTTTCATTATCGATGCTACTAGCTTCTAATTATTCATTGTGAACTATGATAATGCTCTTACTCATCTTAAGATTAGAAACAGTTAATCTATAGCAGAAGTATAGATAAAGCTTTCTTCAATCTGAATCAAGCGCTTTCAAGCTAATCATGATATTACTGCTGAAAGCATTAGCAATAAGAAGTAGCCTTATCTTATGGAAAAGCTATTGAAGATTCATCATAAAGCACTCCAGGAGAAAACTCAAGATCAACTTGCCTCTGATGCTACTAATCTTCAACTTTATTAACAAGCTCAATTCCAAGATTCTTCTATACCTCCATCTCAGCTAGTTCTTAATCAGATATAGCTTGTTTCTATTCTATATTCGATGCATAGTGCTTCCAGTCAACCAATGAACCCATTGGGATAAGCAGTAGAGCTATTATACTATCAATCGCTTCAATAGTTAATTTGTGATTAGCAAGCTTAGTCTGAATCAACTAAGCAGATCTTGAAAGCTGAATCTACTCAGAAGAGCAACTAAGGATACAACTAGTTAGCTTTAATAATAGAGCAACTCCGCATTAACCAAATTGCAATAGCAAAATCCTTAAAGCTGCAAACTAATGCTTTCAGACAGATACAGAATATCTCGTATAACCAAATCAAAGCTCTACAGGAGATCTTACAACTGATTAAGCATTCCCAAACTGTTTCTGCAAGAAATTCTTTCCAGGGAAATGCAAATTTCTTGCAGATGAATGTTATCTATATAAGTCCGGAGAATAAGAGGGAGCAATACTCTGAAGTATAGCGAGCGGAGATTAATAAAATCCTGAAGAAGGATGGAACTCTATGCAGATGCTATAGCTGTAGATCGAAGTTCTATGAAGCTTATGAGTATATAGAACTCCGTATTATTATGAACTATAGCATTTGCTATGCTTCAGCATTAGCAAAGCTAGAGTAGCATCTTAGCAATCGCTCAGAGTTTCTGAACTCTAGATCAAAATCAGTATTATATAGCTAGATTATATCCGCTCAAAATAATCCTAAAAGCAGTATAATCCGTCTAATTCTCAATCTCTGTAAGGATTAGCAGCTGAAGAGTATTAAGAATTCTTGGATCTTTTGATATATCAGCTTGGTTCAAGAGAATGAGAAATAGCATGGAAACTCTGAAATAGCTAAGAATAAGATACTGTGAAAAGAAACCAATTCTGTTCCCAGATGCAATAATCAGTATAGAACTAACAATATTAAGATTCTTAGCAATGCTGGTAAGATTTAAGTGGGAAAGTTATATCTTACTTCAGCTCAAGCTGAACTATATCTACTAAAGCTTCTTAGCATCAATGCTGTGAATATTGAGCCTGTTCAAGCTCAGGTAAACGCAAGTAAAGCAAAGAAGTACTGTATTAGGGAAGCTGAATATAATGATGATAAGGTTGAAGGAGATGCAAGTATGAGAACTATTAAGATCTCTATACATTTCGGAAATATTGAACTAGAGAAATCTAACAAGCAATTCAATAGTCTGGATAGAAAGCTAATAGTTCAGATTATTAGTAACAAGCTTCTGAATTAGTTCCTAGATTATTCATTAAAGATCTTAAGCCAGGAGATAATAGTTATATTATCAGAATGAAGAGCTCGTCTGATTTACAATCTTCAAGAAGTTAGCTCTAAAGCTCGAAAAATTATTAATCTCAATAATTAAACCAGCTTGGATCTGCATAAGATAAATACTGCTGAATTAGCTAATTTATTGCAGTATAAACCCGGAATCTCGATGCTTTCCCAGCTTGAAGAGCTTATTGATAGTCAGATTATCAACACTCGGAATATTACTGAGTATCTTTCGAGACTAGCTCAATTATCCGCAGTTCAAGCTTTGTTCCTTATTACTAAATCTAGCTATATTAAGCCTACTGTTAATATGATTCAAGCTTTCAACAAATCCTTATTTCCTCCTATAACAGCTTTCATAACTGCTCTTAGCAGCATCCGAGATAGAAGCATTGCTTCAGTAGCATATATTCCTCTGCAGCTGAGAGGTAAAGAGAATGAATCTGTACAAGTAATGCTGAATATAAATATCAAAATGAGCTTAGTAGCTCTCTCTCTGTATTCAAGCATGCGCTTATCTTATATACTAATATCGAATGTTATCTCATGCATGTATAATAGATCAGATATAGCGCTTATTAGAATTCTTGAAACTAATGTTTTCTATAGCAGCTTCTCTGAACAAGTAATATTCTATATTATTAATAACAGATTAATATTGCCAAATCATCCTGTGCTATTAGAAATGCTGTTTGTAATGCAGACCAAGCTTTCCTTTGATTACTCCATCTCCGGATTTCTTTATACAAGCTTCGCCTTTGGAGGAGTACAACTGATCATTACAATCAGCAGTCAGAAACTCCTTAAAGGGAAGGATTCACACAGAACCACACCAAAAAAACTGAGTGCTGACAGCCACCCTGAGAGATGCAGGGCTATTAGCGGAGAAGTTGTCTCAGAATAGATATTGTTAAAGAAGGGAGATATAGCTATGATATTCATACCTGAACGAGACATTGCAGCTATTATGAACGAGTTAACAGTAGAACTGATGAGAAGGAAATTGAAGAAGGATTGCTTCATAGTGAATAAGGAAGAAGCAACTCAAGAGTTTTGCTTGTATGGAATGTATAGCAGCTAGCGCTATTTATACTAGCCACATTGTATAGGGAAGGAAAGAAAAGATGTTTTAAGCCTGATTAATACTCTTTATAAGCTTAAAAACAAGAAGATTAAGCTAATTAATGATTTCCAGCTTAATAGTTCAGTATTGGAAGAAATAATTGAATGAAAGCTTGCTAAGATTAAGGAGATGAGATGAGCTCAGCAATCTACAAAGCTTACTAAGTATGATGAGTAGATTGAACCCAAGTTTAGCGATCTGAATCCTAATTAGCGCTTAAAACCTAACTAGTAAGCTGCTATGCAAGAGAAAAACTGTAAAAGGTTTTCTGAAGCTGAGAAGAAAATGTTCAAATACATATTAAGAAACAGAATCAAAGCTCTTGTATGAGATTTTACTGAGATTAGAAAGATTATTGAAGAAGTAGCTTCCTTGCAAGAAATCAGAACTATACTCTACAAGATCTTTCAAGCAAGGCATATTCTAATTCCCAATGCTCTCAGGCTAAAGTTGATAAAGCTTCTGAAATAATATATCAAATAAAAGATTATTAAGAAAAGCTATACATTATACAGAAACAACTAGTTTCTGATTATTAAAAAGGATGATAGCTTATATCTGATCAATAATGCTCAAAAGTACAATAAGCATAGCTTCAAGAATATCTTCATGCTGCCTGCCTTAGATGAATTCTCGGAGGAGTTCATCATATGCAAGATTCTTTCACTGCTCAACTTCTTTTCCGGATACAACCAAGTGCAACTGCATTCTAATAGCAGGGATATAATGATCTTCTTAATGCTCTTAAGCTTGTTCAGAATGTATACTCTACTCTAGAGTACTACTAACTCTGTTGCTCAGTTTATAAGAATAATAGTTAGACTTTTATATAATCTTATTCCTTATATATGCTAGCTTTTTCTTAATAATATTCCTGTTTATAATTCCACAACAATCTATAGGAATGAAGAGATTCCAAGCCTTTCCGAAGTGCATAAGTATATTGCTAAGCACATTGGAAACCTTAATAAGATTCTTGTAAATGCAGAGCTAGCTGGAGCTATAATCTCAGCATTTAAGTTAGAATGGTGCTAAGTGAAAATCGATATGATTGATTATATTATCAGTTCCAGCGAATAATAATCTCAGAACAGGAAGATGGAAAAGCTTCTAGCTTGGACAGAATGCAAGAATATCAAAGATGTTCGCTCTTTTATTGAACTAATTGTTTATTATACAGCTTGAATTTGGAATTTCGCAATCATTGCTTAATTACTCTACAATCTTCTTAAGAAAGGTGCTGCGTGGAGGTAAGAGAAGGAATAGAAAGAAGCTGTTGCTATACTTATTCAAACACTTATATCTCATTCAATTATTATTTCAATTAATTATAGCACTAATACTGAGAAGATCGTTCTTATAGTAAATGCAAGCTTGTTAAGCTGAGATGCTGTATTGATGCAGATAGTAGAGAATAAACGAAAGCTAGCACGTTTCGTTAGCAGAATCTGGATAGTTGCAGCATAGAAATACAATACTACTAAGAGGGAGTATTGCGCTATTCTCTGTACTCTACAGTTTCTTCAGCAGCATCTTTATAATTGCTATTTCATTCTGGAAACCAATGCTTGCATTCTAATGAATCAACTTAATAAAGAAATGAATAATATATCCGATGCTCTTCTGAATAAATGAATAGCAGTAATTAAGATGTTTGATTTTACTATTAAATACATTTCTGAATCAAAGAATTCTGTAGCTAATACTCTTTCTCGATCTCTATATTCAATACTATCTAAGGAAGATGAAGATAGCAATGTTAAGAACTAGTATAATGCTCAGCTTAATAGTATGAATTTAGATGGAGCTGATCTAGTATTATTGCTAAATCTAACTCTTTAGTAGATGGAATAGTTGAAACAGTATGCAGAGTTCTTATGCTACAGGATTATTTTATTAAAACTCTCTAAGAGGAATTGCAAGAACTTCATAGTAGAGGCATTAAAATATCAAATACTTGACTAGGCTCTGTAATGCTGCGCTGATGCAAAACTCCTATGCTGACAGGTAGTAAATAATTCTGATCTTCATTGCTGAATTATTAGAGAATATTATGCTAAGTTTGAATATCGAGATTGAAACTTTATAATAGCTTATATTAAGCAATTCTATTACTAGAGAGATCTTTGAATAGATATAGCTAATGCTATCTTGGATTGCAAGAAGTATGCAAAGTTCGATCCAAAGATGTAAAAGAAAGAAGTAATCCTGATCCTTCCAAATCAACTCTTTATAAGAATCAGCATTAATATTCAATATATAGCTAAGAATAGCAATTACAGATATCTTGCAGAAGCTTGCTATAACCTAATCAGCTATATGCTTGCAAGATCTCTCAAGAAAGCTACAGCTGCAGAAATGAGAAAGTTCATTTTAAAAGAGATTATTCTTGTATTCGAATGCTCTCTCAAAATTACTGTTAATAAAGAACTAGAAAACAAAGCTAAGATAGCCAAGATCATCAGAGCTCTTAAGATTCTGCTTATCCAAATCTTCAATTATAATCTCTATGCTCAAGAATAAGTAGAAGCTAATCATCTTTCCTTAGCAAGTGCTCTTGCTAAGCTAGCTAATACTTAACTTTGGAAATAGAAGCAGTACTTAAAACTCGCACTCTTTGCTAAAAGAACTACAATCCGCTAGTTGCATAAATACAGCTCCTTCTATTTGATTTTCAGTTAGAAGCTGCTTATTCCAATTGAAACTGAAATCCTGATATAAAGAGTTCTTATATAAACCGAAGATTAATTCTCTCAGAAAGCGTTTGAAATGCAATTAAGAATGATTGCAGCTAAGAAAGATAATATACAGAAAACAATTAAAGCTATCCAAACATACTATCAAAAAATTGCAGCCAAAAGTTAAATACAGAATCTGATACGAAAATCTCAACTAAATATTGAAAATCTTGTACTTATTTATAATCACATCCGGAAAATGAGCTACTCATGCAATATCAAAATCTCTTATAAATAGAAGAATTCATATCTAATTGCTCAGATTCTAGACAAACATGCTTATAAGCTCAAGATTACAGATGAAGTTCTGCTAAAAAGCATATATTCAGCTACCAATCTCAAAAAATTTATACAGAATATGAATAGCATTTGGGAATCCAAGATGCTCATGCCCTGGAAAGAAGATATCAAGCTTCAACCTAGCTAATCATTAGCAGAAAAGCTGGATTCGATGAGAGCTCTCTAGCAAGAGGAACCAGACAACAATATTCTTGAAATTCAGGAAACAGATTCAAGCAACAACACCACATTCTGAATTCCAAACATCATTAAGCACAACTCTACGCCTAGCTAAATCAATTCTAATTCAGAAACTGTTAATCTAGCAATTGAAGCGAATGATAATACTGAGAATGGAAATGAAGTTGGTAATAATAAACATTTCATACAAGCAGCAGAAAAGAAGAAATAAGAACAGGAGAAAGCAGATAGAAGTAGAATGTTTATACCAATTCCAACTAAATCAGCATTTCTAGCTCGTAAGGGAGGTTAATTTCTTTCTGTTCATATTTCCTTTTTATTTGCAAAACACATTTTCTTTTCATCTTTTCTATTCCATCTCATATATTTTGCTGAAGAAGAAGAAACGAAGTATCGTCTGCTACTACTCGCTACAGAATACTGTAAACCTACCTAAAAGAATTTCAAAGCACTCAGCACAGAGCATATTAATCAGCTCTAAAGCCATTTTCATTATTCAAAAATTGCAGTATATTAAAATGCAATGTATGAAAAATGCAGAGCACTAAAGAAACACTACAATCTATAGAAACTCCTTACTTTTATATATTATCCTCATTACCAGAATATTCATAAATATCATTCAATAGCTCTTTCCTTATCCTATCCAGATCCATATTATCCGTATCATCCACTGAAGAATTGTTATCAAAAACAGAGAAAGAATCTTGAGACTGAACGAACTTAGCTCGTTTCTCAACACGAGATCCTACTACAGCCTTGCTCTTGCCTTTATTCTTGCTGCAAGATACAGATCGTAGAGCTGCCTGCTCAGATCCAGATACTCCCTTCTTAGAAGCAGAAGAAGCAGTACTCTTCTTGCTAATCTATGCAAATAAAGTTAGCAATAATCTCCTTAAGCATTGCAATTATAATCGGTTATAAGACTTATAGTATCCTGTAAATACTATTTTCTTAGTATAAAAGGAATTCATTTAATCTGGTTATGCATAATATCTTTATCCTGCATAAGCTTGTATTGAATTTTAACAATACGCTTGATATTAGTATTGAAATTAACTTGAGAATTTATCTCGATTATACATTAAGAGCCAAGTTGGTAAAACAAGTACTAACGCTACAAGAAGAATAATAATTAGTATATATTCAAATCTAATCAAGAATATCAGAATGAAAATCTTACTTATATACTGCACTCTTTAATACAAAAGAAATCTTTGATATAATTATATTCAGATTCTGCATAATAAATGCAGTTGCTATACTTCCTATTAAAGAAGCTTTCTATTAAGATGCATTCTAGGAAAAGCCAGTTAATATTAATCTGCTGCCTCTAAACAAGCATGCAAGCAGTAGCATACTAACGGAAGCAGCAATTGCAAGAAACTAGATTATGCTGATCATAGAACTAAATAAGAAGAGAATTTACTTGCTTAGATTAGGAGAAGATGCAAATAAGATATTTGCTGAAGAGCTTCCAACCAGCTTTACATACTACAATAGGATTCAGTTTAATAGAATTCTTATTATTCAGCTTTGCAAAATAAGCAGCAAAGCTAGAGCTTAGTAGTAAGTTGTTCCAAAACATAATATTATCTTGAATATCCCAAGAAGCATATATTAAGCTAAGATCTCTCTTAATAATATTAAAGTCTGTAACATTAAGAAAGTTAATATGGATATCCTTGAGCTAGTAATAGTTGCTGCTCTGAGAAGAAGGAACTGAAGAAGAAAATCAGATCTAGATCTTATCAATCTCTTGAAAAGCAGTATTTATATGCAAAGAGAAAACAGCGTTGGTAACGATTTGAGATATCTTGAGCGTATTGCAGAGCTGGATAAGGGAAGATTGATAGAAGGAGAAGTTGTTATATAAAGAACGAATTGAAAAGCAAGGTAAACTGAAGAAGAGATTGTTGAATAGATTGCTGAAGGTTGATGAAATAGCAATGAGTAACAAATACACTCAACTGAGTTATCACGCCTTCTATCCAGTCTATTGCTGAATAGCTTCTATCTAGCCAAGAGTAAAGCTGTTTGCTTTGTAACAAACAGAAAGCAGTGAATCACTTGGGTAGTTGCCAGACAAGATAAATTGATCATTCCATCTACACTCACAGCCAGCTATTCTTCTTCCTTCTTCAACCTCTTCACAACCACCTTTCTCGAGCATATATACACCCTTTTTTTTTTTCTTCCTCATCAATGCTGCCCCAGATCTATATACCGATATCAGAGCAAATTATTAACTGCTCTGCTTGCATAACATTACTTTTCTTAACAGATCCTCTGGCTGAAGCTGCATTCTTCTCTATCTTTCTTCCTCAGTTAATACTCTCTCAGTCTCTTAACTTTACATCTTTGCAAACTCCCTTTGCAACTGCTTACCTTCCAACAAAGCTATTCTTTCCTTTTCCCTTTCCTTTCAACTTAGCAGCAATAGCCGAATTCAAGTACTCTCTGTTCCCATCTGTTTAGCATAGCTGAGGGAACTGGATAATCAAAGCTTACTGCTTTTGAACTATTTTTCTTAGAGCGCTATATTCAACTGAAGTAATC